AGTAAGTCAAAGGAATTAAGCAGAAGGATGCTTAAATGTCATAGATCGTAATGTCAAACCTGACATGCTTCTGGCCTCTTTGTTTTAGTCACTGAGCACACACTTGGTTAGCTACTCTCTTATGAATTATGGCAGGATTACAGAGAATGCGGACATCTATCCATTTGAAATCAACATTTTTCTGTGCTAAGGATAGAAAAAGTGTTTTATAATCTGATCTAATTTTTCCACATTGGCACTGTTTAGAAAACTTCACTCTGATTCTGAAGAAAAAAATAGAGAAAACAGATGAACTGGAATATCTGAGGCTATAAATATTTTCAAACTTTTTTCTTGCACAAAAAGAATCTTTGTAGATCGGTCAGTGCCTAACTGGAATGTGATAATGAAGCTGACTGCTGTACTATTTGTCAGGTAGTGGCTTTGTAGTTTATTCAAGACTTTTACTCTCTGTGAACCCAGATAATTACAAAACTATAAACTTCAGGGATACTGAGGATCCAACTCTTCCAGGGCGTTCCAGATAGCATGAAAGAAACTCATTTGTTCAGCAAGGATTTGAGCAGAAGGACATGCAAAGCACTTTTGAGGCTGAGGCGGAGCAAATGTTCTAGTGACGAGCTGTATACTTTAAACGGTGGCACTACAGAGCAAATCTTATGCAAGCTACTTTCTATACATAATATCATTGGAACTAGCAGATCACTTGTTCTCGATAGACGTGAGCAACAAATTTTCTCTGTATAACATCACTGTTTGTTTGAACTTAACTTGAATATTCTGCCAATGCATTCATGGTCTGTTCTATCATGCCAATCAAATGACTGAGCTTCAAAAAATGAATTGTATGGCTGATAACCACTTGTGTGCTAAGGTAAAAATACAGATCAGAAGATGTATTATTCGGAGGTATTAATCAAAGAAGCTAATAATATTTGATAAAGCAAATTCTTAAAATTCAAGACATCTTATTTGTCCTTTAATCTGATATCTGATCATTAGAAATGATTACTAAGAGTGGCTTCATTTATATGATAATCAAATTCACAAAAACACTTAGGTATCTGTTGTCATATCTCCCTTTTAACATCAAAAGGAGACAGAATACACCAAATCTAGCATGTTACAAAGAGATAAACTTGAGAGAAAGAGAGAGAGATAAAATTACTAGAGCTCTTGTTTTAAACACAAACAAACCAGGAAAGTACAAAATGGAAGGAAGGAAGGAAGGAAGGAAGGAAGGAAGGAAGGAAGGAAGGAAGGAAGGAAGGATGCTAGCTAGCTTTGTTTCCTCAGTCAGGGAGTAATGGGCCAAATATCCTTAAAATGCATGAAAGCTGAACACTAACACAGCTACTCCTCTTGCTGTGTTCCTGATCTTCAAGAAAGGCACCAATCACCAAGAGAATAGCACTAACATGATTCCACTCTACAATCTAACATCTAGTAGCCCTACTTGTTACATCCCTGTTACCCCAAATCTCATGAAATACACCACCAAATCTTGTTGCTATTAACTTCTACATAGTCTTCAAATTGATCCATGTTTTTCCTCTTCCCCCACCAGCACTGTATTTGATTGGTATATGCAGTCATCTCCTCTTTCCACCACAACCCACTAATTGGTACTGGGCTACCACTCTGACCCCTTTAAGCTGATTCCTCACATTAAGGCAGAGATATCTTTTCAACATGCAAACCTGTAACCTGGCGTCCTTGCTTAAAAAGCTTTGATAGGTTCCTTTATTCTTAGAATAAAGACCAGCATTCTTAATATGGCCAGCCATGATGTGGCCCCAGCATACTCTCTAGCCTCTTCCTCCAGCTTCTTAGGGCTCCAGCCACAGCCCTCTTTGATTGGCCACTGAACCCCTCCACCACATGAGATTCCCTCATGTTTTTGCTTTTGCCTGAAATGCTACTCCTTCAACTCCTGATTGTTTATTGTTTTCCAGTCTTGTTTGTTTGTTTGTTTGTTTGTTAGAACATTTCTCATTATTTTAGCCTCAACATCTAACAAAGTTTCTGGGAATAAGCATTGTTGGTGTTGTTGTTTTTTAATGAGAATAAGTTCTCAATGAGTCAGTAACAAATGGTTAAACAACAATAAATTGCTTATTTCCATTCACCAGAATCACTTTGATAAGAATTTAAATGATAAAATTAAAGTATTTCAAATTTTATAATGAGCAAATTCAACCATTTTATTTAAACTCCCCAGATCTTTTGGCATCTCATAGAAGTGGAAGTGCCCACAATGAAAGAAGTTTATTGGTGTCTTCCTTAAGTTATAGAAATACAAAATTTTATTGCTAAATGGGGCTTTAACCCAATTTTCTATTATAGTTTCCTCATTAGGTGAGAAAGAGTCTTAGGAGATCTGCAAATGGTCATCCAGCCAGTTAGTGACAGAGCAGGGATGAAAACCAGCCATTTCAACTCCCAGTTCAATGTTTTCCCTACAACTATGCTGCAACTTCTAGGTTTTATGACTTCATTTCATATTAGAAATTTGTGAGAACCTGTAAGTACCCATAAGAGAATATCTCTAAATGGTTAATTTTGTCACATCATTTAAAATTTCTGCTTTAAAATATTAAAGTAAATAAAATATTTCAGAAGAGTAAAACACAAGTCCTATTTTGTAAGAAATAAAGCACTTTCATGCCTTATTTGCAATTTATATTGTATGTTTTAAATGGGGTGGGGGTACATGTTTCCATGGTTTCTTAATATTCTAAAGCTGAGAATTTCTCCAGTTAAATCTGCTTGTCATAAATCAGTTTACAAAAACCCAAAGGATGCTAGGTTATGAGGAAGGGATGTAATGGATGGAAAAGCACTACTGGTATCCAGTCTGTTACAAGTTGGCTATGTGATGTTGGACTAACTTCCTCCTGTAGATTTCACTTTCCCCACCTGTGTAATTAGGGATGGTCTAAATCATGGGCTCTGTCAGTCTAGGGCCATGGTCGGCAAACTGCGGCTCGCGAGCCACATGCGGCTCTTTGGCCCCTTGAGTGTGGCTCTTCCACAAAATACCACGTGCGGGCGCGCGTACAGTGCGATTGAAACTTCGTGGCCCATGCGCAGAAGTCGGTTTTCAGCCTGGGCGAGTCTATTTTGAAGAAGTACTGTTGATATTTGGCTCTGTTGACTAATGAGTTTGCCGATCACTGGTCTAGGGCTTCCATGATCCCACTAAGCCTTTTTGTGTGTGTATGTGAGTGTACATTTTTGGAAGGAAGAGGGCCCAAAGCTTCTATTAGATTGGCAAAAGTATCTGGGACACAAAACAGGTTAATTATCTCTGCACTGATATCTGAAGTCTCCCTTGTTTTGAAATGTAATAAAGGAATAAATGTAATTATGATTCTAGACACAAAGTAGGGATTATTGTAGCTGTTAGCTCCAGGGATAAGATTATTTGAAAACCATATTCTGCACAAAGAAGTCTCATCAGCAACCATACATTCACGTGTTAGCTGAAGAACGTCACTGAAAGTCCAGTCCAGATTTTCCGAAATTAGCATCAATTGCCCCAGACAATGGGACTCCGTGCGAAAAAATCTAAATATGTCATAGTGTCTAGTCCTGTCCTTTTTAATCAATGTTTTCATGATCCAGCAAGGTAAGCTGGCACATAGGATCACATGGAGTGGAGGGACTCAGGGCAGTTTGCCAGGAAAGAGAGGTGCTTTCTGGACATGTGTGAAATATCAGCAAACAACATATATTCTACCCTTATGGTGCTTGTATTTTAGAAGGTGAGAAATAAATAACATACATAAAAAATAACAACTTATTTACTATGTTAGAGGTGATAATGCTTTGGCAAAAAAGAAAAGAATAATAAAGAGTAGGGGAATTAGGCCCACCAGAGGTGCGGAGAATGTTGCCAATTTTAAACAGGTCCAGGCAGGCCCCATTGAGAAGGTGTCATTTAACAAAGACTTGAGTAGATGAGGGAGTTCGCCAAGTAATAAGCTCTAGGCCTCACAGTGGCCGGCAAACTCATTAGTCAACAGAGCCAAATATCAACAGTACAACGATGGAAATTTCTTTTGAGAGCTAAATTTTTTAAACTTAAACTACATAGGTAGGTACACTGTTATTAACTTAATTAGGGTACTCCTAAGGCTTAGGAAGAGCCACACTCAAGGGGCCAAAGAGCTGCATGTGGCTCGAGAACTGCAGTTTGCTGACCACTGGGCTAAGGGAAGAGCTCTTCAGCCAGAGGGAGAGCCCAGGGCAAGGGTATGCTTGCTTTGTTCAAGGAAGAGCAAGGGGAAAAGCAAAAATCATTCTGCTGCCGTGGTCATGAAATTTATAAAATTTCATCTTCCAGTTGACACCTCGTTTTCTATTACTTACCTGGTTAAAATGAAAGTCATAATATCTTTTATATAATCATGCTAGAGTCACAGTTGCATCAAAGATGCAAAGTCAAAATTCTTCTGAGAGTTTTTAAATCACCCCAGAACCATGATGTCTGGTTGTTATGCACTTGAAGTAGCTCAGTTCCCACAAACATATTTTTGGCAATAAACTGTTACATGATATTTCAACATGTCATTTAAACGGAGGCGATGTCATTAGAAAGAAATCAAGTAAAAGATCTTCATTTTGAAAATTAAGAAATTGGGCACAAAGTGATTTGTTCTATTTCGACAAAGAGAAATTCCAAGATTCATAGCCAACATGAAAGCACCCATTCTTTCTGAAATGTCACTCTTCCTTTGACATTTATTACATTGTTCATTTCATGAACTTTCTTCCACAAAATGAAACAATCATGATCATTATGCAGTCTTCCTGGCATTTATCTGGGTTAATACCTCAAAAAAGAGGACCCATATAAAGGCTGTACTTTTGAATGGAGAGGGCCAGTTATCCGTCCCCCAGTAAGCATCTTATTCCTGTCTAGAGCCTTGCATGGAAAAGCACCATGACCTCATAAGCTTACAAGTGTAACGTGAAACGTATGTAACCATCCATACCTTGCCCACCTGGTCCTTTCTGCCAAAGCCAGTAGCGGCCGCGATGTTCCCTGCTCCCTCCACTGTCCTCTGTGCGACTGCGGTCACCCCTGTCACCACCGCCTCTCCAACATTCGTCACTTGCTCTTTGGTCTTCTCAGCCACTGGGGTACATCAAGAGCAACAACAGATTAAGAGGTGGATAGAACAACAGCAACTTAAACTAATTTTATTTCCACTAGCTATCCAGTTCTCAGGACCTCTATGTGCACATACCACAGATAGCTGAAGAGTCGAAGAAATGAAAGCTGTAAAGATTTCAAAGTGAGCACAGGACCAAATATTGAATTTTGGCTAAGATACTTTGTTTTAATCACTAAAAGGTGCTTGAAGTTTATGACTGCAAATTTAAAGCCATGAACAATCTGAGTTTGGTTTATATTTTATTAAAGAAAGTTTGCAGAAAGCTATGGTTACAGGTGCAGTTACAGCTGTATCGGACTCAGCATGAAATTTATTTCTTTATTCCAATTTCAGTGCCATTTTTTGGTTAATCCTCACCTGAGGATATTTTTCCATTGATCTTTAGAAAGAATAGAAGAGAGGGAGGAAGAAGGGGATGGAGAGAGAGAGAAACATCAATGCAAGAGAGACCCATCAATTGGTTGCCTTCTGCATGTGCCCGATCAAACCTACAACCCAGTTATGTGCCCTTGACAGGGAATCGAACCCACGACCCTTTGGTGTGTGGGGCAATGCTCTAACCACTGAGTGATGCCAGCCAGGGCTCAGTGCCAATTCTTTTATCTCACTCAAGAGGTTAATTTTCGCCATACCTTCTGAGTCACATAACACATCCATGCTCACACGTTACTATCAGAAATAAACAGTGGAGTAAGGGATGGTTACGAGGAACCCTTGTCCCTTTCATAAAACTTCAGGTAGTTGAAACAGAAAGGTTTTTAATATGATTAATTTTCAATATTTTAATGGGAACAAGAGAGTCAGACATTAAGTAAAATATGAAAATGAAGAAGTTTGCTGAACACACTGAAAATTCCTTTTCACAAAGCAAAATAGAATATGGTCCTTCAGTAGATTTTTAAAAATAAGTTAAATATTTAGAAAACAGTATCAATAGTTTAAGATTATATTTAGATGTAGCGATTTAATCTAATATCAAAAATTCTCTAAGACACTATCTGATATAATTGCTGAACTATTCATATTCATATTGCTGAACTTTACATATTCTCTCCATGCATTTTACCAATTAAAGAAAGCACCAATAAAAGTGTTTGTTTTGATTAAATAAAGAGTTCTATGAAAGAGTGACAAAAGACAAGATAATCTGCTCTTTTAATCATTTCAAAGACAATGGAGAAACAAAACAACCCCTCATCATCTAAACCTTATAAGGTTTATGCCCATAAAACATAGGCCTTGCATCTCTTATCTCTATCTATGCAATGTTTGCTTTCTTTTTGCCCACAAATTCATTTTTGTCTGCCTTTATCCCACACTTCAGGAATTTGGGGTTTGAGGTGATATTTTTTCTCAGGCTATATCCTAAGCAAACGGAGACACAGTTTTGTTATGCTTTGTGCCTGTACAGATCCTCTCCAGATAAGTCCCAGTCTAGGAACCCAAAAAAGTTACACCATGTCACTGTTCAGTGTTATATGCTCGTTGTATGATTATTGCGCAGATTTCATGTCACCAGTTGGGAGAAGCAATGATTAAACAGGGTGGACAAAGCAACAGGGTTTCTGTAGGTCATGGGAGCTCTGGTGGTCTGTAAGGACAAAGGCTTTCTCCCCGTCCTGGGCAATGGGGGGTGGGGGGGAGGGAGACAAGTGACCCTGGAGTCTAAACCCAGGAAGAGCACACAGCAGGTGTTGCTTGATATTTGCCTTTTGCCACTTCTGGGACATGACTGATGCCTCCTAAGGAGTAATGGCTGTTCGCAATGCAAAGTTCAAATTTAAATGGCAGTGAAAATCTGTACTGCAAATTTCATGTTTTTAAACATTTCTAGAATGTTGATCTTTTAAAAATAGTGAATTATGTGCTTTGGGTTATCATCACACACCCCCGCCACCACACCACCCCAAGAACCTGAATAGGAAATTTTGCTTGATAATGAACATTTTCATGTTATAACTTATCTACTAGTTTGAGGTGATAGTGCTTTGGCAAAAAAGAAAATTAAGAGTGGGCGGGGGGGTAAGCCTACCAGAGGTGAAGGGAATGATGCCAATTTTAAACAGGTCCAGGTAGGCCCCATTGAGAAGTGTCATTTAACAGACTGGAGGAGATGAGGGAGCTTGCCAAGTATATGATCTTGGGGAAGAGCTTTTCAGACAGAGGGAGAGCCCAGGGCAAGGGTATGCTTGCTTTGTTCAAGGAAGAGCAAACACAAAAGTAAATTGTGATCTTTTTACAGATTCATAATTTTTTTTTTGCCAGTCATGAAATTTTATTTTTACAACACCTAGGTAATTATATACTAGAGGCCTGGTGCACAAAATTCGTGCATGGGGGTGTGTGTCCCTCAGCCAGGCCTGCAGCCTCTCCAATCCAGGACCCCTCGGGGGATGTCCAACTGCTGGTTTAGGTATTGGGCCTAAAAGGGCAGTTGGACATCCTTCTCGCAATCCGGGACCTCTGGCTCCTAACTGCTCACCTAACTTCCTGCCCTAACCACTCTGCATGCCTGCCTGATCTCCCTAACTGCTCTCCACTGCCAGCCTTAACTCCCTAACTGCTCTCCCCTGCCAGCCTGATCACCCACAACTGCTCTCCCCTGCTGGCCTGGTCATCCCTAACTGCCTCTGCCTCAGCCCCAGCCACCGTGGCTTTGTCCGGAAGATGTCCGGTCTACTTAGTATATTACCCTTTTATTAGTATAGATGTATAAACCTTAACCTATTTTAATACATATAAACTGCATAGTAAAATGCATTTTGTGCTTTATTACATTTTCATTAGGTTTTATCATTGTCAGAATAAGTAAATTAGTTATATTATAAAATGACAGAGTATACATGTAACAATAATAGATACATTTAAAAAGATTTCTGTAGGACTTGATTTATCTAGTGGATTTATCCATTAACCTTGACCTTTATTTTTCCCCTAGTAAGGTCTTTCAAACAAAGGATAAAAAGACAAAAGAAAAAGAAACATTCAAATAAGTACATTTTACATCTAATAAATGTTTTTTTTAATATATTTTTATTGATATAGAGATAGAAACACTGATGAGAGAGAAACATCATCAATCAGCTGCCTCCTGCATACCCACTACTGGGACTAAGCCCACAACCCAGGCATGTGCCCTCGACCAGAATCAAACCTGGGACCCTTCAGCCTGCAGGCTGACACTCTATCCACTGAGCCAAACCAGCTAGGACTAATAAATGTTTTGTATTAAGGGAAACGATATTATAACCAGGATCAAAAAGGATACCTTCCTCCCAACCAATTATAGCCTAATATTTTAAGTTGCTTATGTTTTTCTCCAAATGTACCAGTTTTTCCCATTTTGGTTCATACAGCTTCGTCTGACTGGAAGCCTTCATCCCTAAACCAAGTTACCCTGTCTACTCAGCAAATTCAGTATTTCAGATATATTTATTATATTTGAATAATAAATATATCTCTTTGATTTGTTTCCCAGTATGTCTATCTACCTCCACTAGTGTATTTTGAGTTCATTAAAATCAGAGATACTGTTGTATTTTTCTTTATATTATTTCACAATAGGTACTCAACAAATAATTTTGAATCCATTATAAAGAATTATCTGTATATCTGTAATTAATACATTAATTAGATTTATATTTGACTTTAACTAACTTAATAGAATTCCAGGAAGGAAATGTGGCACCAACTTTTAGAATAGATATAGTAAATCTAACCTTTGACATTAAGCAAAATTATAAAATTAAGACCTAGTTTTAAATTGGCATACAAATTAAAAATTTGAGAAAAATAAAGATTTATATTATAAAGCAATTTAGTAAGAAAGTTTAAATTAGGACATGTTAAAAATTAAGTGTATTCGATATCATGTAGTAAATTTCAGTTTATAAGAATTAATGCTTTCAGAAAATCTCAATAGGAAGTTTTTTACACCATACACTCAGGAGGGAAAAACTGAGTAAGCTTATATCATAATTTATGCTTTGATCTTTAAAGCACCTTCAAAGATATCATTCCATAAGTCCAGATTAAGTACACTATCATATTTTCCTATAATGTGATATATGAAGTTGACAGGGTTAAAGGTCGAGTTTTCTAGGTTTTTATCTTGGGATTAGCTAACTGGGAGAATTTCTTTTTAAAAAAAATATATATTTTATTGATTTTTTTACAGAGAGGAAGGGAGAGAGATAGAGAGTTAGAAACATCGATGAGAGAGAGACATCGATCAGCTGCCTCCTGCACACCTCCTACTGGGGATGTGCCCGCAACCAAGGTACATGCCCTTGACCGGAATTGAACCTGGGACCTTTCAGTCCGCAGGCTGACGCTCTATCTACTCAGCCAAACCGGTTAGGGCTGGGAGAATTTCTTTTCCATGGATATTGTAGGTAGAAAACTCCTGGCCTAACTAAGTCAAAATATTCATATTCTATACTACTTTGTAAATTAAACATAGTTGGTCAATTCAGATTCACCATTCTTGACAGTTAAATATATTGTTTTATTTATTTATAATAAATATTTACCTATCTAAAATATTTAATAAAGAACTAAGATTAAAGAGAGCTGATGTTTCCTTAGACTGCTCCTCCGCAGGCACAGTGGTTGTTGACATTCTGCATGATTAGTGCCGGGGCTACAAGCTTGCAAGGCATTTTCCACATCATCCCTGGATACAGCCCATGGAGCTTACCTGTTGTCACACCATGGACCACTCCTTCCTTGGTTCTGGAGCCTATAAAATCAAACAAATTCATAACCATAAGTCTCAAACTGGACTTATATTGCTAATAGCTCATTTTAAATACAACTAATCCAAACAAAATTTCAATCTGTAGAAGCCCATACACAAAGATATCCTCGGGGCCAAAAGACCCAAACCAAGGAAATTCAGCTATCACTACAGGTAGAAGGAAGGAAAGCTAACAGGAGGCTCTCTCCAATTAAGGTTTTAGCGCACATAATGACTTTTATCCCACTTCACATATCAACTTACAGAGGTGGGGGTGAGATAACGCTGGGTGAGTGGAAAGATGATTCTAGATTCAGAACTGTGGCAGCTTTACTAAAGTCCAGCACAACCAAGATTTGTTCACCCATGAAACACAAGTAGAAGGGGGAGGGAAAGAAAGAATCATAATCGGTGTTGAACACCTATTATGTAAAAGTCATTTTATATCTCATCTTATTTGATATTTGTAACATTTCTCATAGGTATATTATGCTTATTTTATATATGAAGAAATAAGCATATATAAATATATATGTTAAATGATTTAAGTAAACGTTAAATGATTTTTCTGAAGTTGCATAGGTAATAACTGGCTACAAGCACATTCAAATCAAGGTCTCAATGACTCTCACGTTCTTTCCACTAAGCCAGGTAAACCTTTAGAAGGAATTGAGTATTTTATCATTCAAGTATTACTAACACTAGTTTCAAGATGGCAAAGGAGAGGAACTTCCTCCAAATTTTGACCACCTTTTATACAAATAATGTATTAATATTTTTATTAAAACTAAGTTTGTTAATAATTTTATTTATAAGTTCTCTAATATTAGCATTTTCAGTGTAATTCATACCAGTTTTCTAATAAAATATTTTTGGAGAAAAATAATGGATTGGAGATTCACTATACCAGTGATCGGCAAACTCATTGGTCAACAGAGCCAAATATCAACAATACAACGATTGAAATTTCTTTTGAGAGCCAAATTTGTTAAACTTAAACTATATAGGTAGGTACATTGTTATTAACTTAATTAGGGTACTCCTAAGGCTTAGGAAGAGCCACACTCAAGGGGCCAAAGAGCTGCATGTGGCTCGCGAGCCACAGTTTGCCGACCACGGCATACAATAAGTCAAATAATGTAATTCTATCAGACATAGAAGAATATAAAGAAATGAAGAAAAAAATATGTGGATATTTAAACTTATCTTTGGATATTAAGCTGCTTACCAATCTTTAGTTTTAAAATGCACTGTTTTGCAAACCCTTACTAAGTATGCTAGGAATACCTGTAAACACATTTCAAATCAAAGGAAAAAAGTGTAAGGGAGCCTCAGTTTCTTATCAATAAAAGTCATACGTAAGATTAATTAAATAATCTCTGAGAAGCTGGTTCTTAAACTGGAGAGAGTACAGCAGAATTAACTGGGTGGAAGATAGATAAAAATACTGACGACTGAGTCAGAGCCTCAAATACTCAGTAAATTTCATGTACAGATATTTGCATTTTTAACAACCCTCATGATCTAAAGCAGGTAATTCATAGATCAAATCTAGGAAACACTGGTTTGAGGCAATTTCTACTTCCAAATTTATGTAAAACTTTAGAAGTACACATTCATGATTTCAATAATATGATGATAGATAAGTTGATCTAAATAAATATGCAGAAAAATATTGAAAATGTTCATTAAATATATTTATGAAAATATATTGATATGATATTAAGTAAAATTTGCATGCATCATATTTAAATTCCCATTATACAAAACTTTCAAGGAAAGTTTTTAATAATTTAATAAAATTATGTATATATATTTAAGAACTTCCAATTTTTGAATATTTAAGATCTCCAATAAAAATAAAACATAAAGGAGCATTTGAGATCTTGCTCCCCAGCATATGTCATCAATTTTGACTCAAATCAACTCATAAAAATTCTCAAAAAAATAAACTATAGTTTTGTACTTAAGAACATAAGCTCTGGATTCAGATTTTCTGGATCATAAATTCATATAAATGAAATTGTGCAGATGTTAAATATGTTACAGAATATAGGATAGTATTTTATATATATACAAATACATACATATACACACATGCATACATACAGGGTATCCCAAAAAATGTATACACATTTAACAGCTGATAGCTTAATTGTGAAAATGAAATGTATTTTAATAAACACTGCCTTTATAATTATTCAAAGTGTGTGTATACATTTTCTTGGGACACACACACACACACATATATATATATATGATGTTGTGTGTGTGTGTGTGTATGTGTTTCAGGCAATGCTCACTTTGAATAGTATTATGAGACCATTAAATGACTATGCACAATCTGAATTAAAGTTGTGGAATGTGATCTTAAAAATCAATGATAAAAATTACAATTAATCAATTAACCAGTGGTAAAAATTAGCATTGTCCTATGACCTTTACCATTTTTTGTTAAAACATTAAAAGCTCTTAGTCATTTATAAATGCAGAGGAATAAAATTAGTAAAACTAATATTTACTTAGTATATTGTAATTCAATATATTGAGAATAAACATTTTATTTATTTGTAAAAAATTTAACAAGTAGTTTAAACACTGCATGTATTCTTATTCTCATTGTATAACTTCCTATATGGAGCAACATCTTTCCTAAACCTTAGTTGTAAATTAGAAAATTTGGATCAGTTTCTACTTTGTACTTTTAATGTCATCATATGTCTCTGTTCTTTTAAAGTGAGGTGTTTTGGGGGACCACTTCCTCTGGGGCACCTTCACCATATTCAGCACAACCGCTTTTATGTGCATGTCGATCCTTTCAGCTTCAATAAGTTCCTCTGGCTGCACATCTAGAGTCTCTTGAACTATAGTGATGTCAATATTCCCACAGTCAGCTACTTCATCCATAAATAAATTCATGTTTGAATCAAATTTAACTTCCAGCATTTTTCACTTTCTTTGCTACACTTGCATCATTTAGGGCCAATTTCCTAATTCAATTATGCATTTTTGTAACATATCACATGGATGTAAAATAACCGTGAGCTTTGCTGTCTATATGAACTGACTAGCAGATGTGACCAATCACCAATAGGCATTGAAAGAAGCAATGAGATTTGGGCATGTATCACAGTGGGTTTCTGTTATTTATGTAGTGACCTGTGGACTGAAGAGCTAAGAGCAGGGTTTGTATTTTATGCAGTCACTCACAGTTCATGTGTCATGGTAACAGAAATTTGAACTGTGTTGTTAGGGACTCATGTTATTTAATTAACTGTAGTTACTGAATCCATGTATCCTGGAACTATATTAAGTGAAAACAGCCTGTATTTGAGAGAATATTTCTAATCACTAACCACCTGTCCCTCTTTGCAACCCATATGTTTAAAAATGACTAGTAGAAAGAAATGTTTAACAGGGGTTTGTAGTCTTTCCTCTCTTCCTTAGTAGTACCTGAGAATTTGATCTTTGGCTAAGTCATGGAATGTATCCTGAGTTAAAGATAAATGAGAATCTTGATAATATTGCTTCTTATCAAACAAATGACCTATTTATTGTCAATAATTTATTAGTATCTAATTAATAACTAAGCTTTAATTGTTGAGTAACCAGTAATTTTAAAAATATTGCTACAAAATAGGTGCCAAGTGGCTATGTGACTAGAAAAATATGAAAGCGGAAGGGACATAAGTACTAGTAATTTTCCTGAGCTGAGGTGGCCTATATGCATCCCACCCTCTCCCTCAGTTCACAAAACTGCAGAGTGAAAAAGGTTGGAAGTAATCACCGGTTGCCAGAACTCAACTATGCTGTTCATGTTATGTTGACTTTATCAACCTGGTGCAGGTGAGACATATTGTGAGAATTTTATAGCAATCCATACTCACAACCACTACTGCATAGTAAGCAAACTGGTGTTAGAACATTTTTAAAGATTATTTTCTTCCTTTACTGTTATAATACTTATCATTATATAAAGAGAACCATCTGCTTTTGAATTTGACTCTCAATTTATAATTTCTCAGCCATTTGACTGAGAATATCTTTGTCTATTAAATTGAAATATATTGATTGAAAACGTGAGTATCACTCAAAAAGAAAAATCATAAAAATAACATTGATTCTTATGATAGTTCTTTAATTAATCCAAAGGTAGTTCCTGAGAGAACCAAAATGGCGGCATACGTAAACACCGGAGTTTGCTGCCTCGAACAACCACTTCAAAAATACAACTAAAAGATGGAACGGACATCATCCAGAACCACAGGAAGGCTGGCTGAGTGGATATCCTACAACTAGGAGGAAAGAGAAAACCATACCGAGACTCAGAGGAGGCGCAGTGCGGAAGTGAAATACTAAGGTGCGGAGGTTGCATGCGGAGTGGGCCGGCGGCTGAGGGCACGGTTATTGTTTTCAATCAGGAGGGAGTCTCAGGCTCTGAGCTCCAGTTCTGGGCGAGTCTCTAGGGACCCAGACTCATACGAGAGAAGCGGGACTGTCTGGCATCAGTCGGAACTCGAGGGCAGCTTTCTCTCCAAGGGGCTTGCAGCGATTACCGGGACATTGAGAAGCAAACCTCTGAGGGCAGGACTCAGAGGAGCCATAACTGCTAGCCCTGCCCTGTTGATCCCGTGGGACCCGCCCCACCCAAGCCCTGCAGGGAGGCTTTTGCTGAATAGCCACAGGCAAAGGCTAGATTAGCACCTCCTTAGAGATCCAGGAGCCAGGAAGCCCAGATGTCAGAGTGGGACCATCCAGTTTGCAGCTCTGTGGAACCATAAAAGACATACTCAGAGGGCAGACTCAGTGAGCACCAAAGCCCCATTGAAGCAAGTCTTGCCCCAGAGGGGTGTCTCCAGCACCGAAGTTCTCCCACTGCAGACACAGCTGATTCTCATAGCCAATTAGCCTGGAGGTCAATTCCTCCCAGTGATAACTACAACAATCAAGGCATAACTATAACAAGACTGTGCACAAAGCCCACAAGGGAGTGCACCAAGAGT